TCAAATTCCCAGCCTCATAACCTCTTGTGTTAAAGTTTAGGTCATTGCTTCGGAAGGAGTAGGACTCTGAAAATTGAGATGGGGATGAATGGGCAGATTTCAGTGAAAATGGGTCCTTGAGCCCCAATATCTTACAGACACTCCTTTGCCAGGAGAAAAAGTCCTTTGATCTGTCTGAAAATGACTGAAACTTGGACCAAAAGGTAGTCTCCCCTTAAAGAAGCTGAAATACCAGAACTTCCTTAGTATACTTCCATGGTAGAGCAGTGATTCTTCTTTACTGGTGTCATTGTGTTGCCCAGGGGAATCTGGCAATGTCTGGAAATAATTTGGTTATCACAGTGTGGGGTGGGATGGGTACCGTTGGAATCTAGCGGGTAGAGGCCAGGGTTACTGTTGAACTTACTAAAATGCACCGGACAGACAGTCCTCCGTAACAAGGAATAATCCAGTCCAAAATGTCATAGTGTTGAGTTTGAGAAACTTTGCCATATAAGAAGGTATCCAAAGCCGTAGGGAGACTGGAATGTTAAATTTGATTTATCCTGCTCGTGTGTGCTCTGTGTGTGTGTGCTCAGTTGTGACCGACTCCTTGCAACACTGTAGACTATAACCCGCTGGGGTCCTCTGTCTTAAGAGATTTCCCAGGCAAGAATAGTGGAGGGGGCTGCCATTTCCTCCTCCAGGGGACATACCCCTGACCCAGGCATTGAACCTGGGTCTCCTGCAATGGCAGGCAGATTCTGTACCCCAGAGCCATCTTTATCCTGCTCATCCACCTGCTAAAATCTCCTTCCTTCTGCAAAGCTGTGAGAAATACATTTGTAAAGTGAGCCCTGGCCTCCTTGAAGAGATCTATGGTAATGATTTTCTGTAAGCCAGAAATGACAGTGGCAATTTCAGGGCTTCCTGAATTCAGTGGGAATGATGAGATTATAGATTGGCCGGGGTAAAGTGGCAGCATTTATTTGGCAAAGACAAGGAAAGTATGATTACTGTAATGGGCAGCAAAGCCAAAGTAGTAATCAGCATAGTCTAAGCCAAAATGATCTTTGATATTGGCTAGTTCATTATCATGTACCTAGAGTTTCAAGTGGTGAGCAGCATGTAAGCTGAAAAGCTCTAGATTTGCTGAGCAAAAGTTTGACTCGAATCATCACAGTAGAGAGCCATGGCCCCTCAACCAATTCTCGAATTTGAGTCAGCTCACAGACCCAAAGTCCCTGCAGTAAAGAGGTCAGATCTCCTTAAGGACAGACCCTGTTTCACAGCCCCAAATGCTAATACTACATATCCTCCTTCTAGTCTTCCCCAAGGAACCTGTGACTGTTCAATAGGTTGCTTGTGTAAAAGGAAGAGGGAAATAATCATATTTGTGGGACACTGTTAAATATTGGTTCTGAATTGACACTAATGCCTGGAGAACTAGTATGTTCTACCAGGCAAACTAGGAGTTTGTGGTCAGATCAATGGAGGTATGCTGTGGGTCTATTTCACAGTTGGTCTGGTGTGTTCCTGAACCTACCTTATGTTATTTCCTCAGCGATGGAATGTGTAATTGAAACAGACATACTCAGTAACTATCAAAATTCTCACATGGGTTCTCTGACCTGTGGAGTAAAGGCTTTTATGGAAGGGAATGTGAAGTATAAACCATTCTAAATGCTTCTGTTACCAAAGCAATATTATATTCCCAGAGAGACTGTAGAGCTTAGTGTCATCAGCAATAACTATAAAGGTGTGAGGGTGGTGATTTCGACAACATCTTTATTCATTTTGCCTCTGGCCAGAAGGCAGATAGATTTTACAGAGTGAGAGTGGATTTCTCTAAACTTAATCAGGTGATAAGTCTAATTGGAACTGCTCTACAGGTGTGGTTTCATTCCTGTAGCAAATCAATACAATTTTTGGTATATTGTTGCAGCTGTTAATCTGATGGATTTTTTTTTTTTTCTGTACACTTTTTAACAAAGACTGTCAGAAGCAGTTTGCTTTCATCTGGCAGGGCCAGCAGTATACTTTCAGTGTTCAGTCTCAAGGCTGTGTGAACTCTCTGGCCCTATGCCACAATCTAGTCTGTAAGACCTTGTTCAGTTCAGTTCAGTCACTCAGTCGTGTCCAACTCTTTGCGACCCCATGAACTGCAGTACGCCAGGACTCCCTGTCCATCACCAACTCCCAGAGTTCACCCAAACCCATGTCCATTGTGTTGGTGATGCCATCCAACCATCTTATCCTCTGTCATCCCTTTCTCCTCCTGCCCTCAATCTTTCCAAGCATCAGGGTCTTTTCAAATGAGTCAGCTCTTCGCATCAGGTGGCCAAAGTATTGGAGTTTCAGCTTCAACATCAGTCCTTCCAATGAACACCCAAGACTGATCTTTAGGATGGACTGGTTGGATCTCCTTGCAGTAACTCTCAAGAGTCTTCTCCAACACCACGGTTCAAAAGCATCAATTCTTCTGTGCTCAGCTTTCTTTATANTTTTTTTTTTACTGTTTGCCACTTTCATTTACCTACCATCTAATATAAAAAATGTTAATAGTAGTTAACCTTATACCTCAGTATTTAAGTCACAGGATATCAAAAGGGAACATGACTCAGCTCAAAAATGAATCAACATCACCCAAAGGGACTTTGTATCCTCCTGGGGAAAGAGTTAGCATGTTTTTGGTTGTACAAGGCATGTTTGATTTTGCCATTTGTCTTTATTTGAAGCTAAGTGTATTAAGAGACATATATATGGATGCCAAGTGGACAAGGAGTAGAAGGTGATGGATTTGTATTGTGTCAACTTAGCTAAAATGTAACTAGGTTTTCCAGAATTCCTTTCCTTTTGTCAACTACAAATTGGCACTTGCCATCTACCTTGATAAGTATTAAATCATGTGCTGCTGCTGCAGCTCTTGATTTTCAACACCCCCTGAAAGGAGTTTAGGGTAGAAAGCAGAAATGAGCCATTCTGTGCTCAGGGAAAAACTGGGAAGACAGGTCTTCAGACGGATATTTTCAGGAGCTGACTTTATGAGCCCAATTCTTATATCTCCTATCTAGAAAAGCACTAAAATCCTTCATGGTGATGACTATTCTTTGTGACTACCAGAAAGACTAGCAGACTAGCAGAAGACTAGCTAGAAACCTTCTGGAAAAATATGTGCTTGACTCTATGTATTCCCCCTTCACCAAAATCACATACATAATGATGTTACCCCCACTCCACCCCACCCCTACCTCTTTGGAGTAGTTTCTGAGTTATCTGAGGTGTTGTCTCCCAGGCTGAAATCTTCATTTTGCCCCAAATAAACCTCAATTTGCAACTGTCACATTGTGCATTTTTTTAAGTCGACACTTTCATTCCCTGAAAAACTGCACAGGAGACACTTAGCATGAGCCTAGAAGGCTGAAGTAAAGCAGCAGCCAAGTTCTTTAAGCCGACAAGGCACTGCTGCAGCAGGTTTTCCCATCTGCGGGCCACCTTGCTGGCATGGGGCAGCAATCAGCAGTGCAGCCACTATGGCTCCTGCTGAATTTCCTCTTTCACTTTCTCTGACTCCTTGGCCAGGGCTGTGTTTAGTTCCAGGATGAGCGGCATCAGCTTTTTCTGTCACTCCCAGCATCTACTTTGAAGGCTTAGAAATGGTGAGAAATCCACAAGGATTCCAGAATATCCTGTGTGTTCTAGGTCATCCTTATAGGTTCTAGATTTTCCTTGCTTTTCTCATTTTTCATCTACCATTTCTTAATAACTGCTTGCTCTGACCACTTCAGGTCCCAGTTCCTGATACATAAGCAAGAGCCTTACAATTACATAAATCCAAATACCTACAACAAATCTCTTACTTTATGCTACTACTAGTAGTTCTACAGTCTCAACAATCACAGATTGACTCACCTACCATACCGCTACAAAGAGTTCCACTAACATGCCATGTTTTTATGACTTTTTCCTCTGCCCAGAGTCCCGACTTCCTTCTCTGCTTAGCTATTTCCTCTGCATTCTTGGCTCATCACATGGTTTGCATTCTTAGAGAAGCCTCCCCTGAATTCTCAGCTCTAAATGCCCCTCCTTTATGCTAGCACTTCCAGAGCAACCTGTTATTTTGTTGTAGTACATTTGACTTTATTTTGTCTTCTCCTGCTCTTGATCTCTCTCCCTAAGGAGACTAAACTGTTTGAGGGTAGGGAGTTACTTTTCATATCTCTAGACCAGCACAGTGCCTTGCACATAGCACATGTGCAGTGTTTGCTGAATGATGAAAATGAGAACATATTACTGTGTAGTAATGTTTCCTGTTGTATTTTGTTCAAGTATCACATATCACAGCTCATAGTAAGAAGATAATTACCATAGAACTCCCTCTGTGCAAGTCCCACACTCATCATCTCATAATCCCAGACCTACTCAGGCTGAATATACTTTGCACAGAATGAATGGGAGCTAAGAACATTGTGACTTGTTCTTATTAACATAGACAAAAAAACCTTAGATAATTTAGGTCCCAAAGTAGATTCTTTTTCTGTCTGAACTATCTGATTTAGCTGTTGATATAACCTGAATAAACCAGATAATTTTACACCATTCTTTGGATTTGACTGTGTAAATGTCACTTAATTTACAGACTAATAAAAAAAATTGCCTATCGCTCAAGCTGAATAGCTGAGTTACATAGGGTATAAACTATTCACTGCTCCTTTTACTACAGAGGATAATACAAACTATAACCTAGTTCTCTACTAGGTTTTTCCTTTTTAAAATTGAAGTATATTTCACATACAACATTATGGTGTACAACATAATGATTCTGTATTTGTATGTATTGTGAAATGATCATCACAATAAGCTGAGTTAACATCTATCACCAGATATAGTTACAGAATTTTTTCTTTTGATGAGAACTTTCAAGATCTACTCTCTTAGCAACCTTCAAATATGCAATACAGCATTATTAACTATAGTCACCATGCTATACATTATATCCCCATGACTTATGTATTTTATAACTGGAATTTTGTACCTTTGCCTACTGAGTTTTTTTTTCAGTGCTTAAACTACCAAGACATTAAGCCTATAACTGGCCAGCAACCTCAACCAAGTGAAGATTGCTGCCTTTCTTTCCAGTCCTCCTCCATTAATCATCTTGATCCAATATTCATGAATGAATATGAATGAATGAATAAATAAAATATGCTCTAATCTGAATGAATTAATAATAAAAATATTCTCAAAGATGGTTGAATCATATACAAATTACGTAGGTTACCTAGAGTCACAGCTCCTACAACAAATCCTTGGGCAGCAACTCTCATGTGAATAAGATGAATGGACATTTTCTGATCTCTTCTGTATTTTAACTTGTAAAGACCATAGGACACCACTGTCACAAAGCCTGCTATTCCTGTAAATTAAAAAAGTAGAGATTATATAAATAGCAAGCTAAAATTTCCCAAGAACTTAGAGATTTGAATAAAGGACTGCCCAAGGGATCAGTACGTGGAAGATAAGCAGGCAAAACACCAAAAAACACTTCATTAATGGATTCAGTATTTGCAGTTTTGACTATTTCAGAAAAAATTGAATTGTATTGTATAGAAACTTGTCTAGTAGTTTTCCTGAGGCATGGTTTCAAATTTGTAAGCAGTTAAATGGTTAAAGCCATTTATTTGGGGCAAACTGTTTAACCAGTGAGTGAACCAACCAAAATCTTAACATTCATAGCTTTTGGGTGTTTGGCTTTATTCCTCTCTAGTTTTTATTAATATTAAATAAGGAGTAAATCTAGTGAAGTGAAAGAAACTTTAATATCTTAAGTGAAAATGACATGTTGAGTTTTAGTAAGAGGTAAAAAGGTGTGAATATTTGCATGAGAAGCCTGTGACTCTGGGAAGAACTGTGATTCTAAAAAATTCCAGAAGCCCATACAAATATTTTTTTACATATGTCAAGAACTGAATATACTGCTGTGGCAACCAAGATTCTATGCAGTTGACTCTAAAACAGAAAACTGAATAGGAATCAACTGAATAGGGAAAATTCTAGTAAGTGATTTGAAACAGTGTGAGAAGTTAACCCATGCCAAATCAAAATAACCATATAACAAATAAGGGGATAACTATCTGAACTAGCTTGAATTTACATCTCACACCAGACCCTACCAAAAAACTCTGGATGGGTTAGAATTAAGTATGAAAACAAAGCAAATTTATAAAAAAAAAAATAGAAGAAAATAAAACAGAATATTTATGACATCTAAAAAAGGAGTAAGCTAGACTTAAAGTGAGGGCAAAAATACTGTATTTTGATGACAGAATAAAGGAAACTTCTGCATGGTAAAAGTGTGGCTCTATTTTGGGGGATCTCTCTTCTACTGATTTATGCATCTACCTTCATCAATACCACATTGTCTTGACTACTATATCTGTATAGTAACCCTTAATATCAGGTAAGGATGACTCCTCCCACTTAGTACTTTTTCTCCAAAAAGGTTTCTTTATGTCAAACCTCAACATGAATCAGCCATAGATATACATGTATCCCCTCTTAAAGCTCCCTCCCATCTCCCTCCCCATCCCACCCCTCTAGGTTAATACAGAGCCCCTGTTTGAATTTCCTGAGCCATACAGCAAAGCAATTAACCTTCAATAAAAAATAAATAAAATTTTAAAAAAGGTTGTTTTAGCCATTCTAGAACTTTTGCTTTTATATGAATTTTAGAATAAGCTTGTTTATATCTACAAAAAAACCTCATTGCTGGTATTTTGATAGCAATTACACTAAACCCATAGATGAGTTTGGGGAAAACTGACATCTTTATTGAGTCATACAATCCATGAACACAACAGTCTCTATATTCATTTAGGTCTTCTTTGATTTCTTTCATTAGCATTTTGTATTTTTCACCATACAGATTCTCTACATGTTTTCTGAAGCTTGAAAGTGTATTAGTCGCTCAGTCATGTCTGACTCTTTGCAACACCATGGACTGTAGCCTCCTACCAGGCTCCCCTGTCCCCTGTTCATGGAATTCTCCAGGCAAGAATACTGAAGTGAGTAGCTATTACCTTCTCTAGGGAATCTTCCTGATTCAGGGATTGAACCCAGGTCTCCTGCACTACAGACAGATTCTTTACTGTCTGAGCCACCAGGAAAACCCTAATCATTTCATTTCCTTTAGGGTGACTGTAAATGGTCTCATGTCTTTCATTTTGGCTTCCATGTGTTTGTTGTTAGTATACGGAAATGCAATTGACGCTAAAGTAGAATAGCAAGTTTTGACTATGTTGGCATGTGTTTGTCTCTATGGGTGGGTGAGGATATATTAATTCTCTCAGAGCCACTTAATAAATGGAAATAAGAATCAGAGTAAATAATCACATTTATATGAATATTTTGTATGCTAATTAGCAATAAATGAAATTGAAATAAAAATGACAAACAAAAGCAGCAAAAAACAAATTATAGTAAAACATTAATGGCAGGTACACTGAGAAACAGGTACAATGCTGAAAGTTCTGTAAAGATTTAGCCAAATCATTCTGGAAAGAAATCTGAAAAGATATAATAATTGATATTAAACTGAACATGTGAGAAGTTTAAGAGGGAAACGACATATGTATACCTATGACTGATTCATGTTGATGTATGACAGAAACCATCACAATATTGTAAAGTAATTACCCTCCAATTAAAAATAAAATTAAAAAAACTGAACATACTTCATGCCCTGAAAATTCTGCTTTGGGGAAAATACTTCAAGGAAGCAAGCAAAAGAAAAGTCAAGAAGCTGACACAAAGATGTTTATAGCTACACTGTGTATGAGGAAAAACAAAACAATCCAAATGGCCCAAACAGAGGAAAAACTATCAGAGCTGTAAAAAAAATTGTAAATATAATTATACTTACATTATAGTATAATATACTACTATGAAATGTTAAGTAAAAGAAGCAAAAACAAATAATCTATTGACACAGAGTTTAAATACATGTAATGTATTTAAAGTGTCATTATTTAGACCTTAGCAGTGACCATACGATTTTAAACAATATAAATCAGTTATAATGACAGAAGTCAAGATAAGAAATTAAAATGTTCTATAAATTATATGAGGATACTCCATCCTGTGGCAGAAAATACTTAGTAGATATTCTTAATAAAACAAGTAAAACAAATAATAATATATATACAAATTTTATCATTTAGCTTTCCAGCAAGAACTTGGCTCTCTTCCCTTATTCAGACTCTGTTCTTACTGAAATTTGTTTTGCTTCTTTCAGAAATTAAAGTCAGAACCTTTACTGTTTTCCATACAGCATCTCTGTAGTTTGTATATAATTGAGTTTGGCTGGAAACACTTTTATCTTTCTACTTTAATCACCCTAAATGTCTCTGGAAAAACAATTTAACTTACAACAGACACAGTGATTAATCTGTTCATTATAGTGATCTGTTCAAGTGACACTGAGTTCTTGAATTTTTTTTTTCTAGTTAAAAATGCTAAAGATGATGAATAAATCACTATAAAATTATTTGCCTCCATTTCTTGTGCTAGTACAAGTCTTAATCAAATTAAGTGAAACTTTTAAACACTAAATACTACTTTAAAGTAAAATTTTGATTCTTTTTGATAAAGAGTTTATTTAACCATCAATCTTAGCACCTGGAACACATCAGGAAGCCAACAACAAGCCTCAACAACAACAGACTTTCATTCAGAGCTTCTTAACTCTGAATTGACTCACAGTTCTTTTGAGCTTGGGTATCTAGCTTCTGGCAACACAGAATATTAGAAGCAGAAGTTTCTGATGGTACCCAACAGTAATGGAAGAAAGAGAAAGATTTATAAACATTGGACACAAGAACTTAAAGAGATATGTAGATCTTCCTTAACTTGTGATTGGATTACATCTTGATAAACCCATCATAAGATGAAAATATTGTAAGTCAAAAATACATTTAATACAACCTCACCTATTGAACATCATAACTTAGGCTAGCCTACTTTAAACGTGCTCAGAATACTTACATTAGCCTGTAGTTAGGCAAAATCATTGAATACAAAACCTATTTTATAATACAGTGTTGAATATCTCATGTAATTTATTGAATATTGTACTGAAAGTGAAAAACAGGATGTTGGGTACAGAGTGGTTGTAAGGGTATTGGTTGTTTACCTTCATGATGGTGATGCTGACTGGGAGCTGCTGCTGTCCAGCACCATCATAAGAGTATTGTATCACATATCGTTAGCCCAGGAAAAGACAACATTCAAAGTATGATTTCTACTTGAACGCACATTGCTTTCTCATCATCTCAAAGTCAAAAAGTTGTAACTCTGTATACAGAGTCTCTGTATACATCTCAATAGTTCCTAACAGACTCAGTCTAATAAACTGAATTGGCTGCTACTGATTCTGAATCATTATAGAAAAGTTACAGTCCATTCAATCAATTCTATTTAGACTGGTTGGGAAGTTTAAAAAAATTTTCTTTACATAAAACTGTAATTTTACTTTTTATATTTATTTATTGGCTGTGCCAAGAGGCATCTGGGATCTTAGTTCCCCAACTAGGGATTGAGCCTAGTTGCCCCCTGCACTGGACGTGCAGAATCTTAACCACTGGACCACAAGGGAAGTACTTGACAACGAGTACTTTTAAATAGACTGTGAATGAAAATGAATTAAGCAGAATAAAAATTTGATGTTTCATAATAATAATAGCTAACATTTACTGAGTATCTGTCACACACTAGGAACTGTGCTGAAAGTTTAACTCATACATGCATAGAAGGGGTTAGCTTCAATTATCTGAAAGCATTCAATTATATAAAAGATTTCAATACTCAAAGATACTGGTCGAGGTATTATTGTGTTATTACAAACAGTTTTACAGTATCCAGTCAAGGCTTGTACTTACCTACAGGGACAAACGGGGAGTCTCTAGATTTTCGGATCAATCGGGATAACTGGCCTTCATCTTCATCTGCTGACCACTGGTTATCTGAAGACATTTTTCTCTCTAATAACTAGGGGATAAATGTGGTTGCTATGAATGCTCAGAAAGAATCTGCTTCCCTCTTCCAATATACTCTTGATTACGTGTTCTTCATTTGTTTGACATGACTGTCTGCTCAACTGAAATAAAGTTATCTTTCCTTCACCCTCTGCATTGTGGGATCCTTTCATTTTGTTTAGGGGTGGAGGAAAAAGAAATATACAGAGTGGTAAATAATAATCAGATTCCATGAATACAGAGTAAAAACATAGATCATAGAAGTGTTATTCAGTCCCCTTTCACTGCTCAGCATTTGTAATCATTGGGAATCTCAGAACTTCCACAGAGAGTAAGAGCAGAGTTTCTTTTACAAAATACAGTTTTAAAGAATGATGGCAAAGCCAACATAGGCAAAAATAACTCCAGATTTACAGTTATTGGGAGAATGACCACTCCAGTTCTGCAGAATGTGTAGGGTACTATAAAGTCATTGAGATTTTTACCAAGCACCTACCATGTACCAGGTGCTACCCTAGTCAATGGAAATAATCTTCCTTGTCTGCACAGGATGAATGAGGAAGCTAGCAAGAGCAATTATAATCACAGTCAACATGATCTGGAAGTATCTGTTTGTTATCCTTGCAACCCTCTATTTTTAACCCTCAAATCTGAAATACGATGGCTTCATTCTTTGATATCAATCAGCTTTCATCAGAAAATGTAATCTGGTAAGTGGCAGAAGCACAATACCTTTAGCGTGTGTGCTCCACCACTTGCAGCCTGTCTTCTGGTGTTCGCTTAGCAGGAAGCCGTGGATCAGAATAGGCTTTGCAAAGACGAGACACGTTTAGGTGCAATTTCTAACTAATTGATGATTGGAAAGCCAGCGCCCTCGCCCCAGTAAGGGGGAGTGGCCTGCTGGTATTGGCCAAGCTTTCATAAGCCCCAGCTGGAAACTTACCAGCAGCAGGACCTGGACCACAAACATTAGGTTTTCGAAGATAGCATTCAAGGAAACATTAAGCTTTTCAAGAAAAGGCCTTTCCTTCTGCCTTCAAAAGGGCGCTCCCAATTCCCTCTGTGGTTGAGTCCCCGTTACCCAAATCCTATTCCAGAAATTGAATGGAAAGTGGGGGCAGGGTTACAACAGTGGGTTTGTAGGTGGGAGTGGGGTTAACCTTATGAGGCCAAGACTCTTGTTGTCTTTTAGTGCGCTTTTGCCAGATGGCCGCCCACGGTGGCCGAGATCTGAGGCTGAGGAGCCGCAAGCCTGTCCCAGCTCATATGACCGCCAAGCCCTCGCACGTGAGCTCCGCGTGGAGCTGGGAGCTGCACGCTCGCCCTGCCAGGAAGGACGTGACATCACTGCGCCCTCGGCCAATCCGAAGGCCCGGGGGGCGGGAGACAGAAGGTGTGAGGGAGCTGCGCCTGCGCAGCGCGAGGCTACTCTGTCTCCCTGCGGGTGGTGGTGGATCCTGTCTTCGCTGCTTCTGTGAGGGTGCAACCTTGAGGCCTCAGAGAAATTCTGACTCAGGTCTCCCGACTGCAGCCACAAACGCCTCAGGCTGAGGACAGAGAACCAGGTAGAGCTCACGCTTTTACATTAGAAGTTTGAAATTTTTAATTATTTTAGATTTACAGAAAAGTTCCCAGAATAGTACAAAAAACTGTATATCTGATAACTTAGATCCGTCTTTGTTAACATTTAGTCGCATTTGCTTTATCATTTTCCTCTGGATATGGTTTCTTCCTTCCAATGAGCCGCCTGAGAGAAACTTGCACACGGATAGGCCTGTACCCCTATATACTTTGTGTGCACTTGGGCTATTTTCTTACATAACCATCGTACAAAGAGCAAAATCAGGAAATTAACAGTGCTATAACACGATAATCTCAAGATTTTATTCACATTTCACTAATGGTCCCAATAATCCTTAACAGCAAAAAAAAAAAAAAAATTTTTTTTCTTGTCAAGGATCCAGTCCACTTCAATACATATTACATTTGGTTGTCAAGTGTCTTTTAGACCCCTTTAATCTGGAACGTTTCCTTAGTTGGTGTATTACTCAAGGTACTTCAGAGAAACAGAACTGATAGGTTTTTATTTATTTATTTTTAAAATATTCATTTGCTTCTTTGGCTGTGTTGGGTCTTAGCTGCGGCACATGGGATCTTCATTGTGACCCATGGACTCTCTAGTTTTGTCTCGCAAACTCTAGAGCTCAGTGGGCTTCAGTAGTAGCAAGTTCTTAAATTTCTGATCCTACCCAGTGACTTTATTTTTCCCTTCCGTGAAATGAATAGTGAAGCTGTCTGCTGAGAGGACATTGTGGAAATGAGTGTGGTGAAGGTTTGTCCTTTGTGGCAAATGAGGGCAAATTATGAGATTTCTTAGCAGCAGTGAAAGTTTAACTCAGATTTTGTGCTTTCTCGTGAGAGCAGCAGAGGAAGAAAATGGCTGGGACCAACTGTTTGCTTAACAAAGGTTAATTGAGTGCTGCAGACAGAAAGGTGTCTTAAGACAAATGCCCTGTCCTCAAGAAGCTTAGAATCAAGTTGTGGAGATGGATGAGTAAAGCAGTGTCACGTGAGAACCTGTTGAGATGATGGGAGGAAGAGGTATGGGCTTATAGGAGCTAAAGGATCTTAAAATTCAAACTGGAAAGTTAAAGAATTCTTTTAGAGAAAGTGGCTTATGGGATTTTTTTTTTTAGAAAACTTATAGATTTTAGGTGAAGAGATGGTAGGGATGTTTCAGGCAGAGGGTACAACTTGTGGAAAGTCCCAGAAGCAAACAGCAAAAGCGGTTTAAGGTGTAGAATTGGGTGGGAGTGGCTTATAGAGGATGGAGCTATATGACCAGTGGGGCCAGTTCATGAGACCCTTGCATTTTATTCATGAAAAATTTTTTATTGAAGTATAGTTGATTTATAATATTGTGTTAGTTTCAGGTGTATAGCAAAGTGAATCAGTTCTCTCTCTCCATAAATACATATCCGTTCTTTTTTTAGGTTCTTGTCTCATATAAGTTGTTAACAAAATATTAAGTAGAGTTCCCTGTGCTGTATAGGTCTTTGTTAGTTACCTATTTTATATATAGTAGTGTGTATATGTTAATCCTAATCTCCTAATTTATCACTTACTCCCATGTTTTCCCTTTGGTAGCTATAAGTTTGATTTCAAGATTTGTGAGCCTGTTACTATTTGTAAATAAGTTCCTCGTGTCATTTTTAAAATTAGATTCCACATATAAGTGATATCATGTGATGTTTTTCTCTGACTCACTTCATTAGTATAATACTCTCTGGGTCCATCCATGTTGCTGCAAATGGCATTGTTTTATTCTATTTTTAATGGCTGAGTAATATTCCATTGTATACACATGCCATATTTTCTTTATCTGTTCATCTGCTGATGAACATTTTGGTTGCTTCTTTGTCTTGGCTATTGTAAATTGTGCTGCTATGAACATTATCATGCATGTATTTTTTTGAGTTATGTTTTTTGTGAACATATACCAAGGACTGAGACTGCTGGATCATGTGGTAATTTGATATTTAGTTTTTTAAGGAACCTCAATATTGTTCTCCATAATGGTTGTACCACTTTAAATTCCCACCAGCCGTGTAGGAGGGTTCTTTTCTCCACACCCTCTTCAGCATTTTTGTTTTTAGACTGTTTGATGATGGCTTTTCTGACTGGTGTGAGGTGATTCATCATTGCATTTTTCTAATGATTAGTGATGTTGAGCATCTTTACATGTACTTTTGGGCCATCTGTCTTTTTTGGAGAAGTATCTCTGGATCTTCTCATTTTTTTGAGTGGGTTGTTATTTTGGTATCAAACTGCATGAACAGTTTGTGTATTTTGGTGATTAATACTTTGTTGGTTGCTTTGTTTGCAAATATTTTCTCCCATTCTTTTTGTTTTGTTTATGTTTTCTTTTGCTGTGCAAAAGTTTTTAAGTTTAATTAGGTCCTGTTTGTTTATTTTTGTTTTTGTTTTCATTACTCTAGAAGGTGGATCAAAAAAAGATATTGCTATAATTTATGTCAGAGTGCTGCCTATGTTTTCCTTGAAGAGTTTTAGGTCTTTAGTCCATTTTTAGTATATTTTTGTGTCTAATGCTAGAGTGTTCTAATGTCATTCTTTTACATGTAGCTGCCAGTTTTCCTGGCATCATTTATTGAGGAAACTGTCTTTCCCCCATCCTATATTCTTGCTTCTTTTGTCAATGATTGATTGACGACAGGTGTGTAGATTTATTGCTGGATTTTCAGTTCGGCTCCTTTCATCTGTATTTCTTTTGTGCTGGTGCCACACCTGTACTCAGAAAACTGTAAGGTGCTGATGAAAGAAATCAAAGATGACACAAACAGTTGGAAAGAAATACCATGTTCTTGGATTGGAAGAATCAGTATTGTCAAAATTGAGGCAGGAGGTAGCTGGGCCCCAGGCTAGGCAATTTCAACTGTACTCTTGTTTACATTTCTTGGGGCAAGAGAAAGGTGAGCTGCAGGTTACATACTTACAACCAGCCTCCTGTTTGCTCTTCCACAGGGAGGTAACAACTGAAACACAGGGTAAATAGCCAGGCTTTGTCTTCTGAGGACACCTTAAAATAACAGTCATGGCAGGAACAGAGAGGGGCTAACCCTTGTTTGAGTAAAAGGATCAGGAGGTCGTATATTTTCCATCCTTGGGGCAAGGCTCCTTAGGATTTAAAAAGGAGGGGACCCTACTCCCATGATATATGATGCTAATATGTGATCTCATTGGCCTCTGGGATGGAATCCCTCTTGGAAAAAAAGTTGCACACATATGTGTTGGGGAGAGTCTTACGGAAAGAGAAACCAGATAATTGGCTAAAGGTAAACAAAGACTCAGAAGAACTGTCCTATGTAAATGACTTAACCCTGTCTTTACTGTGCTCCTCCTCCCTGGGGGGCATGCCCACACCCTTTCTTTCTGGGTGTGCATCTCTGCCTTGCTTCTATCTTAACAAACTGTCTCTGTGTATTCTCCCATTTATTGTTGTGCTATGTCTCTAATAATAAATTTTGTACCTGCATTTACAGCTTTTGCCATCATGAGAAATGCATTTTTCCATGGGGGCAAAGATCCAGGGAAACATAGCTTCTAGCCTCTAGCACTTGTTGGTCTGATGGCTAGGATTCCTGGTTTTTTGTTTTTTTTGTTTTTTTTCGGCGGGGAGGTCCCGTGTGGCCTGTTCCGGCACTCTTCCAGTGAACCCGATTTGCTGCTGCTTCAGCCAAGGAACCAGGGATCCAACCAGGCTGGTCACTTGCTTCCCCAGGGCAGTGTCAAAGAGTAACTCAGAGACCTGTACTATACTTGTAAATTTCTTTCTCACGTGTGTGGTTATCAGTTGATGGTGGTTTAGTCACCAAGTCTTGTCCAGCTCTTGCGACCCCATGGACTGTAGCCCACCAGGCTCCTCTGTCCATGGGATTTCCCAGGCAAGAATACTGGAGTGGATTGCCATTTCCTTCTCCAGGATTCCTGGTTTTTATCCAGGCTGTGAAGGTGAAAGTGTTAGTCGTTCAGTCATGTCTGAGGTTTTGCAATCCCATGGACTGTAACCTGCCAGGCTTCTTTGGTTCTGGAATTCTCCAGGTGGGAATACTGAAGTAGGTTGCCATTCCCTTCTCCAGGGGATCTTTCCAACCTGGGGATTGAACCCAGGTCTCCCACGTTGAAGGCAGAAATCTTTACTCTCTGAGCAACTAGGGAAGCCCAGGCTACTCGGGTTCACTTCCTGGACAGGGAATTAGGGTCTTGCTTCACACCACCACTCATTGCTGCCTCTCCAAGATCAAAATGACTATACTATCATACATGTTTGTCAAAAATTCATCAAACTGTACAATTAAAATGGGTTGACTTTGTTATATGTAAATTATACATCAATAAGCTGATTTAAAATTTTTTAAAAATGAGTATAGTATCCTAGGCAATCTACAGATTCAGTGCAATCCTTCTCAAATTACCAATGCCATTTGTCATAGAAATAGAACAAAAATGTTTTAAATTTGTATGGAAACACAAAAGACCCCAAATAGCCAAA